TTCAACAATTGAACAGCCAACTGTTGCAGCTCCTCTTGCTCTCAATATCCACAGGTTGTTTGACCCAATTGCCTACAGGACTCACTGAAATACGTTGATAGAATATGTTTTTGGGATCCATTTGAATAATGCTTATAAATTTCCTTCCAGCTCACTTATGGATCATTTCTGCCAGGACAGCATGCTAAATCGCAATACCCTTTTTTGTATCAGATGGTCCCAAATGAAGCCCACCAGCACATAGGAGTGGTGCGCTTACTTCAGCATTTTGGATGGACATGGGTTGGACTCATTGCTGTGGATGATGACAAAGGGGACAGGTTTTTACAAACAATTGTGCCAATGCTTTCACAAAATGGCATCTGCTATTCTTTCATATTAAGACTACCAAAATGGAATTATCTGGATGAAATTATAGACTTGGCAGTACAGCATTTTGACAGCTATACAATTGCATTTGAGGCAACAGCTAAAGTATTTTTTGTATATGGAGAACCTCCGTCTTTTCAAGGTTTGAGATTTTGGCTGTTTGCAGCACCCTTCTTCTCTTTGCCACCTCTGGGTAGAGTGTGGATTGTTACATCTCACTGGGATTTTGCATCACTTTCTGTTCAAAAAGATTGGGATTTACAAAGCTTTCATGGTACCATATCCTTCACAGCTCACTCAAATCAGCCATCAGGATTCCCAAAGTTCCTTCAGATGCTAAAACCCTCCTGGGAAAAAGGAGATGGCTTTATCCAAGACTTCTGGGAGCAGGCATTCAGCTGTTCACTAGAAATGTCTATGGGCCAAGAGAAGACCCAGAAGAAAACCTGCACAGGGGAAGAGAACCTGGAGAGTCTTCCTGGAAGTGTATTTGAAATGAGCATGACTGGACACAGCTACAATGTCTACAATGCAGTACATGCAGTGGCACTTTCCTTGCATGCCATATACAAATCCAGCCCCAATGAGAGAAGGTTGATAGAAGGAGAGAAACTGTTTTTTCAAAATGTTCAACCATGGCAGGTAACTGTAACTCACGCAAATGAGAAAGAAGAGCTAGCTTTTGATAAAAATAAAAGGGATTATATATTTGCATAATATAGTCCCAATATTTTTGTGCTTTTCATTTCATTTCAATCTTCGTTTTGTTTCTTTCAAATTCATTTTGGTAACAAATACCAACCATGTGATAAAATAAGGTAGGGTTGTTGTTGTTGTGTGTGTGTGTTGTAAATAAACATAGCCAGTTTCCTATTTGGAGCCAACAGAGGGAAGTGGCATCGAGTACTATAAAGTTTTCACACGTGCTGTCCAAATAAAATGAAAGACAGACCTAATAGTCCCTTTCTCTATATTCTCTTTTAATCTAGATCCATAACTTTCTCAGAGGCTTCACATTCAACAACAGTGCTGGAGATACTGTGTGCTTTGATGAAAATGGGGAATTAGTTGTAGGTTTTGACGTTACAAACTGGTTGATTTCCCCTAATGGGTCAGTAATTAGATTCAAAGTTGGAAGACTGGAACCTCAGGCTCCGACAGGCAAAGAGTTAATCATTCATGATGATCAAATTGTGTGGCATCAGAGTTTTAATCAGGTGAAATATAGTTGCCTGTTTATTTTGTTTCTGTGACCAATTTTTGTCCTGTAAGCTACTTTATGTAAGCCATTGAAAACAACTTAGTACATTCCAGTTTTAATTTTGGTAAAAGCCAACAGAAAGGGTTAGGTCTCCCTCATATGTGCTAGCTATTGCAGAGGTGGATGACTGAGGATAATTGCAAACCCCACTTTTATGTTTCTGTATAGGTGTATCCTCTTTCTATGTGCAATGACAACTGCTATCCTGGCTACAGCAGGAAAAAGAAGGAAGGGGAGAAATTTTGCTGCTACGATTGTGCTCCATGTCCAGAAGGAATGGTCTCTAAGTGGAAAGGTAGGAGGCATAATGTACAGAAATATCAATACAATTCCATAACACAGGATGTTTCTTTGGAGAATATGTAGCCCATTGAATGTATATGAAGGTAGTGTGCAACACAGGTTTAAAACAACTAACAATTCCCCCCCCCCCCAACAAAATTATCACTTTTAAAGACATTATGGTTTGGATGCAGTGTAGCATTAAAGTCCCATAGTGTCACCCTTGTTCCACCAGACAGTGTTTTTGTGCCAGTAGAACATTGCTGCACAAGAGAACGCTTGAGAAGGTTGCTCACTACTTTGTTGTGCAATAGATTGCACAAGGTTGTGCAGTGAAGTTGCCCTGATGCAACTGTTGCATTGGCTTCCTCTGCTGAGCAACGATAAAATTCACTGATCTGCTAGAACAAGAGCCCTTTGGCTAGCAGACAGAGAAACTCAAGACAATGTACATGGGCCTTCCAGGAGGCCTTGGGACTAAAATTCACAAATTAAATGAATATACTAACATTTGGATTTGAAGGGCACTTTGCGAATACTTCACATACAATACCCCAGGAAATCCAAAAACCCCCTGTAAAAATGTTTATTCCTGTTAAATGAAGAAATGTAGAAATGAAAACTAAATTTCTCACTGTGGGTATTCCCCCCCCTTTTCTTTTTTTCTTTTGCCAAGGTCTGCATACTATTGCTATACTGAAAGCAGTCCTCTAAGACATGAAAAGTTTTCTTCCAATGATTGCAGACTGCTTTACAAAAATAATAATTGTCTTCATATTTTTTGTTGACGTGGGATTGAAATTGCCTTAAAATTCTGAGGTGGCCAAGAGTGGTGTGTCCATTAAACATTTGTCCTCTGCTTATTACATCATCTTCCTGTCACTCATTGAAACACAAGAAGCCATGGGGAATGGTTCCCAAGTACCTGAGAATATTGTGAACACTGGTTTGGTATTTACATGAAGTTCTTACATTTACCTTTAAAAAAAACCCTCTGCTCCCATTTCTTTAAAAGTGCATTAGGAGATACCATTGGGTTTTCAGGAAGCCTGGGTATCCAAGAACATTGCCAAAAGCTGACCACTTTGTTTAAAGACAGAATTCTCACAAAACTCCTCAGTGCCCAAGAAAGTCAAATCAGCACTGTTATTTAGTCGATTTCTCGTGTCCAACTCTTCATGAACCCATGGACCAGAGCATGCCAGGCACTCCTGTCTTCCACTGCCTCCCGCAGTTTGGTCAAACTGTTGGTAGCTTCGAGAACACTGTCCAACCATCTCATTCATTGTAGTCCCCTTCTCCTTGTGCCCTCAATCTTTCCTAACATCAGGGTTTTTTCCAGGGAGTCTTCTCTTCTCATGAGGTGGCCAAAGTACTGGAGCCTAAGCTTCAGGATCTGTCCTTCCAGTGAGCACTGAGGGCTGATTTCCTTCAGAATGGATAGGTTTGATCTTCTTGCAATCCATGGGACTTTCAAGAGTCTCCTCCAGCACCATAATTCAAAAGCATCAATTCTTCAGCGATTAACCTTCTTTATGGTCCAGCTCTCACTTCTTGGAAGCCATAGCTTGAACTATACAGACCTTTGTTGGCAAGGTGATGTCTCTGTTTTTTAAGATGCTGTCTAGGTTTGTCATTGCTTTCCCCCCAAGAAGCAGGTGTCTTTTAATTTTGTGACTGCTCTCACCATCTGCAGTAATCATGGAGCCCAAGAAAGTAAAATCTCTCACTGCCTCCATTTCTTCACCTCCTATTTGCCAGGAGGTGATGGGACCAGTGGCCATGGTTAGGTTTTTTTATGTTGATCTTCAGACCATATTTTGTGATCTCCTCTTTCACCCTCATTAAATGGTGCTGGGAAGTTTTTGCCTCTGCACATGAGTCTGAGAATGTTCTGAACAGTTCCCATTGAGCTCATGAAACAGTGTACCCTGACCTGTTCTTAATGCATTGCTGACCACATCTACGGAACGTGATTGTTGTATTCTTTCATGTTATGTTCTTTCAAGTCATGCTATACCAATCTTTAGTTATAATTTAATTAGGAGGTTTCATGCCTGTCTAGTTCCAGCTCCGTTTCCCAGCCTTTAATCTATCGGTGATTAATGTTCATATGTAATTCCCGCCTTGTACTTATGTTAACCAATCAGCAACAAGTTGCTTTGTGTTTGTATCAACCAATCAGCCACAAGCACACCTGTGGCAATGTTTGTAATATTCAATAAAAGAGAGTTCCCGGGGCTTGCCCCGGCAGACGCCTCTCATATGACACCTGCCACTCGTCTGTCATGGATTCATTCCAACATCTGGTGACCCCGACGTGATCCAACTGGTGCCAGATCCCTTACGCAGCCAGCCCTCATACTTCACTCGACTGGAAAAGTCTCAGCGCGCTACTTCGTGAGTATGGGAGGGGAATTGACTAAATTCCAAAAAGAGCATGCTAAAGAATTGCTTTATTTAGTTAGACAGCGAGCGGTGGGTGTTAATATTTCCTTAAAAGAAATTGAACAATGTGAGATTGCTTGCCAGTGCCCTTCCTATCCAGAGACTGGTTCTTTGGAAGTAGAGACTTGGCAAAAGATCGGAAAGACCCTCTTTGCAGAACCAAGGGCTCCGATTCATTGTCTGCTCACTTGGCAGAAATGTGCAGATGCCGTTGCTAAATTAGGACCCCAAGCGTCCCAGGCGTCTCCCTCGACCCCTGCCCTTCTAGCCATTGCAGACAATCCCCCACCTTACCCAAAGCTTTTGCCTCCTTCTCCTTCGCAGCCCGGCCAACCCCTCCCTGCGTCTCAACCACCTCAGCCTGCATCCTCCCCCCCTATCCCTCCTTTACCTGCCACAGCCCCTGTTTGCTCTACAGGAGCTGTGCGCGCTGCGCTTTCTTTGGCCAGGCAGAAAGGGCTCCTGTCCTTAGAGGAGGAATCTGAGTGGCCTGGTGAAATGCCGTCTGCTTTCCCTATCACCTATACAAACCCTGGAACTGCTCAACAACAGGTTTTTTATGAGGCACTTCCTTATTCTGTAATGAGGGAATTAAGGAAAGCCATTACTGATTCTGGTCTAAAATCCTCTTATGTAACAGGAATGCTAGAAGGAATAGCAACTGGTTACACAATGCTACCTCAAGACTGGAAAGACCTGATGCGCATGCTTTTATCCCCAGCTCAGTATGTGGTGTTTGAGAGTGAATTTAAACATAGTGCATCAGCCCTGTCTGATCCGCAGCATACAGCCAATCAACTTTATGGCGCGGGTCAGTATGACAATATACCAGCCCAGGCGACGCTGACACCTGTACATTTTAGTCGCACCGTGACCTGTGTACAACGCGCCTTTCGTAAAGTCCCTGTTTCAGGGCAGCCGCTGAGCTCCTTTGTCAATATTAAGCAACAGCATTCGGAGCCATACCATCAGTTTATAGATAGATTCTTTAATTCATCCTCACTTTCTGATGTCAAAGTTGTGTCATCTGCATATCTGAGGTTGCTGATATTCCTTCCGCCAATCTTAATTCTGGTTTGGGATTTATCCAGTCCAGTCTTTTGCACGATTAATTCTGCATATAAGTTAAATAAGCAGAGAGACAATATACAGCCTTGTCGTACTCCTTTCCTGATTTTGAACCAATCAGTTGTTCCATATCCAGTTCTAACTGTAGCTTCTTGTCCCACATAGAGATTTCTCAGGTGACAGATGAGGTGATCAGGCACTCCCATTTCTTTAAGAACTTGCCATAGTTTGCTGTGGTCGACACAGTCAAAGGCTTTTGCATAGTCAAGGAAACAGAAGTAGATGTATTTCTGGAACTCTCTAGCTTTTACCATAATACAGCACATGTTTGCAATTTGGTCTCTGGTTCCTCTGCCCCGCTGAAATCCATCTTGCACTTTTCAGAGTTCTCGGTCCACATACTGCTTAAGCCTGCTTTGTAGAATTTTAAGCATAACTTTGCTAGCATGTGAAATGAGTGCAATTGTGCAGTAGTTGGAGCATCTGCCCTTCTTTGGGATTGGGATGTACACTGATCTTCTCCAATCTTCTGGTCCCTGCTGAGTTTTCCAAACTTACTAGCATAAGTGAGTGTTCCTCGCTTCCACTGCGTATTCATAACAAATTGAATTAGATTGTATCTTACTGCCCAGTGGTTTCCCCTACTTTCTTCAGTTTAAGCTTGAGTTTTGCTATAAGAAGCTGATGATCTCAGCCACAGTCAGCTCCAGGTCTTGTTTTTGCTGACTGTATAGAGCTTCTCCATCTTTGGCTGCAGAGAATATAATCAGTCTGATTTCAATGCTGCCCATCAGGTGATGTCCATGTCTAGAGTCATCTCTTGTGTTGCTGGAAAAGAGTGTTTTTGATGACCAATTTGTTCTTTTGACAGAACTCTAGTAGGCTTTGCCCTGCTTTGTTTTGAACTCCAAGGCCAAACTTGCCAGTTGTTCCAATCCTCTTTTCTAATTTTGGGACATGATTTCTTTTTAATAAGTTAATGGAGATTTTTTTTTAAAAAAATGAGGTGAGTTTTGGCATACCTCAGCAACCTATTACAGTGGTATCTCGGGTTACAAACACCTCGAGCTACAAAAAATTTGGGTTGCAGACTCCGCTAACCCAGAAATAGTACCTTGGGTTAAGAACTTTGCTTCAGGATGAGAACAGAAATCGTGCTCCAGCGGCGTGGCGGCAGCGGGAGAGGCCCCATTAGCTGAAGTGGTACCTCAGGTTAAGAACAGTTTCAGGTAAAGAACGGATTAAGTTCATAACCAGAGGTACCACTGTAAATTAATGGAATTTATTAAATTAAATTAAATTAAATTAAATTAAATTAAATTAAATTAAAGGAATTTATTAAATTAGGGAGTTACTAATGTCCAAAAAACATTTATATCCCACCTTTAATCCAAGGACCTCAAGATTGTCTTCACTGTTCTCACCCATCTCTGTTGTATCCTCACAAAGATCGAGGATAAGCTGAGAGACAGTGACTGGCTCAGGAAGCTTTGTAGCTGAATGCGGAATTAAACCCTGGTCTCCTAGGTCCTAGTCCAACACTAACCATTGTGTGACACTGAATGTACAGTATACCATTTCAACATCATCCACAGATTTATTTGGAACTGCAACAACAATGCTCTCACTCCCTTTTAGAAATGTGGAGCTGACCAAAGGACTAAAAGAAGACAAAATGAGACACTTCAGCTGTCTAGATAAATGTTGGTCAGCACCTTTAAATAATTATTTAAAATACGGTACTTTAAATAATTCTTCTTCTTTTTTCCAGACATGGATGCCTGTGCCAATTGTCCAGAAGATCAGTATCCCAATAAGGAAAAAACTCAATGTATTCCCAAAGTTCCAAGCTACCTCTCTTACAAAGAGAATTTAGGGGTCAGTTTAGTTACCTTAGCTATTACTTTCTCCTTCCTCACAACCTTAGTACTCTTAACTTTTGTGAAGCACAGTGATACCCCTATAGTCAAAGCCAACAACCACACCTTGACCTACATCCTTCTCATCTCCCTCCTCCTTTGCTTCCTCTGCTCCTTCCTCTTCATTGGAAAGCCTGGAAAGGCAATCTGCCTCCTCCGACAAACAGCATTTGGCATTGTCTTCTCTGTGGCCCTTTCCAGCATTTTGGCAAAAACCATCACTGTGGTTCTGGCATTCATGGCAACCAAGCCAGGATCTAGGATGAGGAAGTGGGTGGGGAAAGGACTGTCAAATTTGATTGTCCTTTCTTGCTCATTCGTTCAAACTGGCATCTGTACTCTTTGGTTGAGAACTTCCCCTCCATTCCCAGATACAGATATGCACTCAGTCATGGGGGAAATAGTACTGGAATGTAATGAGGGTTCAGCTGTCATGTTTTACTGTGTCTTGGGCTATATGGGTTTTTTGGCCATTGTCAGTTTCTTTGTAGCTTTCCTAGCCAGGAAACTACCTGACAGTTTCAATGAGGCCAAATTTATCACTTTCAGCATGTTGGTGTTTTGCAGTGTTTGGTTAACCTTCATTCCAACCTACCAAAGCACCAAAGGGAAATACATGGTAGCTGTGGAGAGTTTCTCCATATTATCCTCCAGTGCTGGATTACTGGGTTGCATATTTTCCCCTAAATGTTACATTATTGTGCTTAGGCCAGAGTTGAACAGCAAGGCACAACTGATAAACAGAAAAAAGTGAGGGGAAAGCTATAAATCCATTCAGCTCTTATATAGAAATTATTGGAAATGCTGGTGAAGGGGATGTCATGAGAATTCAAGCATAGGTGCTGTCTTAAATAAACATTCCACACTCAATTTATGGGGAATGGAGTTGAAATGGAACTATCCTGTTTCAATTTCCCCCAAACCCTACTTTAGATTTGCTTCTATGGACCCGCTGCTGGAGTAACAGTAACCTATTTCACAAAAAAAGGTAGCTATTCTCACTCTTCAATTGTCATTTATTTATTTTACAAATATATAAACCATTTATAGCCAGAAGCTATTGAAGATGTTTTCAATTAGGCAGCATTCTGTTCTCACAGTAGATAACCAGATGCCTTTCAGAAATCCACAAGCAGGACCTGAATACAAGAACACTTTCTCTTTCTCCAGTTTCCAGCAACTGGTATTTAGAAGCCTACTATCTACAGCTATGGAGGCAGCATATAGCCTCCATCATGGCTAGTAGCCATTGCGAGCCTTCTCCTCCATGGAAAATTGTACATGAAAATTGACTTCTTCTTTTTAATGAATGTGGTCATACTACATATAACATAGTTTGAGGGTTATTAGATATACTGGTTTAATATGCTTAAAATGCTATGTTTGAATGTATTGTATGTAAGATGCTGTGCAGAGAGCTCAACATTAGGTTGTCTCTAGCTAAATGTGGGGACGAAAAGTGTAGACGTTTCCATTCAATTAATTGATGACTCATCCCAGAAACTCTTCCAGCTACAATCACTTTGCCAGCAGGAAGATGAAAACTGAGGACTCAGTGTCCCAGTCAGTCGTTGAAGCTCAGCAATGATGAACGCCCGAGATGCTTACATAAGCATTCTCTGTGGGACCAGAGAAAGAAATTTTATTGAACTGTATTAAGGACTAAAAAGGAGATGGGACCACATTGCTTGCTGTTTAAAAGCAATGTGCTACTTTGTATTTTGCAATTTTTGGTAACTAGCTTGAGACTGTTCCGCAATAAAGCTTTGAAACTTATTTTTGTGATGGAGCAAAGGCATTTATACTCTGCACAATGTCCAGATAAGGGATTCTGTTTGCAACAGCTCTTAACAGAGGCTGCTTTCATTCTTTCTTAATAGTTTCAAGATGCTTTGGAGCAGGTTCAAATTGTGTTGCTGCTGTTCCGGGTAAATAAACAAGGAGATGGTGCAAATCACTTCCCATGTAATTTTAAGTAGAATGGTTAAGTACACAGGAATACTAAATGAAAAAGCTATGGGTGCCCTCAGATATTGTTACGTATGGCTGTATCCTAATTTAGATCACATATATCTGTGCCATTCTTGGCAGCCGTACAAGGTGCACAAACCAAGTAATTAGCTCCATATTATTTAGAAAATGAAAGTTCCACCCCCACCCCTGAAATCACTAGAATGATTTGTAAGTGAATTTAATTCTAGCTCTGTGCAGAAGCAACAATTCATTTTTTAAACCCCTTCATCTTTTATGCATAATGCAACTTCAAAAGCAAACAACACATTCGAAATTGATAATAATAGCTATTATAGTAAAAAAAATTGCTGGTTTCCCCATAGCAAACTCGGCAATCAGTGTTTGAAAAAAGCTACAAAACATACACTGTTCAGAAATGAAGCCAGGGATAGGCAGGGCTCTGGCAAGCTTTCTTCTTGCCCAGTGAATTTTACACTTTCCAGATTCTTATTGTGAAAAACTGTGCCTTGACTGGGTATTAATTAACATCCCTGCACATTGCCTCACCACTCTCACATATGGACTTTGTGACAAATGACTGGACATTCAAATAGCTATAAAGCTCATTTTAGAAAATTATAAAGCACACCAAATGAAAGCATTAATATTTATATCTGAATAGCTGTATATGAGATCTATCTTTCTATCACACATTCTTATAAAATAAAGTAAGGAGATAAAGCATTAGATCCAAACTAACTCACCTGTTACGCATGACTTCCACTGAAATCAACAGTCATACCCTAACTTAAATTCCATTGATTTCAACTAACTTAATCTGTGGGAATCCAACCCAATAAGAACATGTGGTTCAG